AGCCACACAGCTCCAGTGACGTCAACTGGAGCCGACGAACTCTGCAGCGATTCTGGGGCGGGCCCCCAGCGGGAGGTCGATGGGAGCAACGCTCCTTCGCCTTCCCTTGTTCCCCGCGACGGGGAGAGCCCTGGCGCGCAGGGCGCCCTCAGTGGTTGCTTTAGTGGGTCTCTGCCAGACCCGCTGGCCGAACCCTGGGGGACCCTCTGCTCAGTGGAGACCGGCCTCGGTGCTCTGCAGGTCTCCCTCCTAGGCCCAGCCAGAGGGGGAGCTGCGCTAGGGCCCCCCAAGGAGAAAGGCGGGACTCGCTGAGGCGGGAGGGGAGGGGTCAGACGAGGGAAGGGACGCGCCGCAGGCCTGGGGGGAGACGCCAGGCCCTGCGCACGGGAGCACTGCACGATGGCGTGGGCAGGACACTCACCACAACCCCAAACTGCTCCGGCTCGGCCAGCTCGCTGTATTCATCTCCCAGCTCTGCCAGCATCTTCAGCTGCTCCGACTCAGGCATCTGCTTAATCAGGTTCTGAGGGCGAAACGGTGCGTCCATGAGGCCCAGGCAGGCGCAGGAGAAGGTGGGGCCTCCACGAGCCCTTGAAAGGAGGCCATGCTCTTAGGGAAGACTGATGGGCAGAGCTCAGCACAGCAAATGCAAAGGCCTCTACTGCAGGGAAAGCAACGTGCCTCCCCAATCCTCACTCACCTGCACCATGGACTCCGTCAGCACAGCCTCGTTCACCTCCAGGATCATGTTCTTGATCTCCTCGTAAGGCATACGGAAGGAGCCCAGGAAAATTGCTGCCAGGGTCCAAGAAGAGACACAAATAAATGGACGGGGACAGTCCACCAAGCACTACAGACAGGGCCCCGCCAGGCTCGGCACGACCCCCGCCCACACTCACAGAGATTCTGGGCACTCTTGGAATCCAGCACTTTCAGCTCTTTGACCTTTTTCTTCTGCACACTCTTCTCCTGGCTGCCCTCCTGCTCTTGCTTTGCTGCGCACAGGAAACGGGGGTGAGTAGAGGCGAGGGGAGCCAGCAGCCACCCGCACAACGGCCCGCTGTCCAGCCCACGCTCCGCAAGGCGCCGCCCAGGGGCAGACGCAGCCTCGACTCTCCCGCACAGGAGGGGAACCCCCTCGCTGGAGGACACGGGCTGAGACGTGGACGAGCACGGAGACCTCGGGATGGGTGACAGCTCTGGCACTGGCAACAGCTCTAACATCCCGCCAGGGGGCTGGGGAATCTTCCGGGCATTACTCCCGGGACTTGGGGCTCTGGGGTCTGAGGACTCCTTACAACGAGCTTGGCTCCGGCCCCAGGATCCCCTCCCCTTCTCAGAGATGCAGCAGCTTCCCCGGGAGTGAGGACTCAGAGGCACGCGCCCAGACCCCTAAGAGCTCTCTGCTTTATTTGCTGCATGTGACATGATGGCCGGGAAGACTGATTCAGGCTCTCCCCCGGGACGGGAGCAGAGGCAACACGAATCCTCGATTAGCAACAGCGGCAAGCGGACGGAACGAAGGAAAGAACTTTGGCCTCTATTATGCACCACATCCTCCGTCTGTGTCAGCTGCACAACGTATCCGCGCTGCCTGTGTGCTTGCTTCCAAGTGACGCAGCGGAGCGCCCGGAACACCCCGCCAGACAGGGCCTTGCTCAGAGTGACGTTTGGAGAGGCAGCTGTTCGCCATTTAATGGAGCCCTGCTACTTTCATACCAGCCTTGATTTCTCATTCCTAGGTACTAAGTGAAGCACCTTACAAAAGTCGGGGAATTTCACTGAACACTATTATAACCGTCAGCAACTAGAACCACGCAGCGGAGCGCCCGGAACACCCCGCCAGACAGGGCCTTGCTCAGAGTGACGTTTGGAGAGGCAGCTGTTCGCCATTTAATGGAGCCCTGCTACTTTCATACCAGCCTTGATTTCTCATTCCTAGGTACTAAGTGAAGCACCTTACAAAAGTCGGGGAATTTCACTGAACACTATTATAACCGTCAGCAACTAGAACCGTACCCCC